GTTCCCACCCACATTAGGGTAGCTGTCTGTGCTCGCCGGATGATGTGCAGCTCAGTCACTCCACAGCGACACTCTGCAGTAACACGCATACCAACTGCACAGCCACTAATAGCAGATTTAACTCTGCCCACGGCCCACCCACCATTCTCTCCCAAATAGCTCTAGAGGATTTAAACCAAATGAGCATGGCTCAAGACTATGTTTCAGAAAATACAGAAAAATAAATCTGTATTTCTAGCACCTTGCCCCCACACTTGCCACACAGATCTGTGAGGGCCCTGTTCAGGGCATGAGGCTTCAGATGACAGCTGCAGTCGGTGGGAAAGCCCTTCCCTCTCCTGCCGGTGTTCCCTGACGTAAAATGAGGGGGCGCACTGCAGCTCCTGTACAGCTCTCACTTTCCCAAATCTGCACTGCATGGGGAGACAAGCTGGGACTCGTTCTTTCCTGCTTAACTGCCACCATAGTGGAAGGATACCCCTCCAACCCCGCCCAAGCCTCAGACTCAGGGCAGGCCCCTCTATGGAGCTGACTTGATCCAGTGGCCAGAGTAGCAGCATTCACTCAGGGCTGCATCTAGAGGCTTGATGACTGTTCATTGCCTCCCACCATTGCTGAGAGGCTCCAAGCTAAGGCAGTGTTAAAGGGCTAAGACCCATGCAAGTCCAAGCCAGCAAAGAACTTTCCCAGCTCTCTGGTCTGTCAGGTCACTCAGCAACGTTCCACAGAACCTCAGAAGAGCCAGCCTCACACGCTCCAGGTGCCAAGCAACAGCATCTGTTAGAGCTCTGAGTTCCAAAGCCAGGTCCATGTGAGAGCATCAGAAATCTTTATGCCTACAATAAACTTGCTAATTTCTAGCCCTCCAATGGTCTGAATGTTTTTGTTCATTCTAAAAATTCATGTTAAAGTTTAGTTCCCAAAGCAACAGTGTTTCAAAGTGTGGTCTTTAGAGGAAGCTGAGTCATCCAGCTCTGCCTTATAAATGGAATTAGGTGCTCTTTGGAAGGGGGTGGAAATAGAGAATTTGGCTTTTTTGCCCATCTGTTATCTGCCAAGTGAGACAGACCACGTAACGCAGGATTCCTCCCCTGAAGGATGTGGCATCAAGGCGCTGCCTTGAAAGCAGAGAACAGTAACAACCCTCACCAGAGGCTAGCACCTTGACTTTAGACCACCCTGTCTCCAGCACATGAGAAAACAACTTCTCATCTTCATAAATTTTCCAACTTGGGACATTTTTTAAATTATAGCTGTTGTTTTGAGGCAACAGCTCACTAGTAGCCCAGTTGGCCTGAATTTGTAAACCTTCTGCCTTAGCCTCCTAAATGCTGAGATTGCTACTGTGGACTACCATGCCTGGATTTGGGGCATTTTGTTATAGCAAGCAAAAAGTGGACCTAAACAGCCCCACTTATCCCTCAGAGTGAGAGTCCTTCACTACACAGTGAAAGCCCCTCAACCATAGAGTAAGTCCTTAGCTCAACAGAAGAAGTCCCTTACCCCAAAACAAGACTCACACAGAACAAGCCCCAGGTCACACAGAGCAAATTCCTAACACAAGAGTATGCCCCTTGACCCAGTCTTTAGCTCAACAAAGTAATTCACTCACCCAAAAGCAAGTTCTTCACCCCACAGCGTGAGCCCCTCACCCCACAGTGAGACCCTAAGCCTCAAAATGGGGGTCTTTCACCATATATTGAACCCCTTGTGGGTTCATATATATTTCATATGTATTCAACAGGGGAGGTAGCATATACAGAAAGCCCTTTAAGTGGGCCATTGAGAAGTCTGCCCATCACACACCAGAGAATGACAAAACTGCTACATGGTTAGACTCCTTGGTTGATATTGGCCTACAAGCCCACATAGCTCCAATCAAAGAAACCCAAGGCTAACTGGGTGATCTTGACTCATCCTGGTACTTGACAAGTTACTTCATCTAGTGCCCTTGCACCTAAAGAGACAATGGAAAGATACACTGAGGCAGCTGTGACCTCAACCGAGATAAGAACACTACCCAAAGCACCGTGGTCCTGACCCTTCCTCCTCCTATGTGGAGAGAACTCCCCTACAGTCTCCGCACAGCTCTCCAGCACACACAGCCTCTCTCCTCCTGTCAGGATCTGCTTCCTGATGTGACCTTGAGGCTGTCCTCCCCAGCATTCCACCCTTAGCCTGTGATCATCCTCTTCCTACACGTGTGGAAAAGGAAGCACAAGTAAGTTGCTGTCCTTCTTGCCAAATGGACTTCCTTGTGACAACTTTCTAGGGATTGTGCCTGGGGACTGCCACTAGTTGGACCTCCTGGGTTTAAGTTGGTTCCATGGGGATCTCCCTCCTAATAGACCAGATCAGGGTCACACAGCAATAAAGCTGGGATACAGCAGCCATGAGACCTGCTGGCATCTTATCCAGACCAGTGATGCCGAACCAAGAGTGAAACCACAACTCAAATGTCAAAGACACATGTGACAGGCAAGAGAGTGTAGCAAAAAGTACGGATGTGAGCACTTGTCTCAGTTCTGCTGTCCTGAGAAGTACATAAGACCCTCAGTGTCACCTGTTCTCTAAGTGTTTTCAAATCTGCAGTCGGGACCACTCACAAGCCCTAGAACTGCTAAGTCACACACAGTGGGCGGGGCTGCCAACAGCTGGGCTCCATCCCCCATCATGTCATCACCTCCTGGAACAGAGTGTAAAGCTCAAGTCACCAGAGCCCACCTGCACTTCCGGAAGATCAGACTCCATTCTTGGTCACAGCTCTCCAAAAGCACAAGTTCAGTCCAGCTGGTGGGCTTTATGTCTGAATCAGCTACCCAGATAATCAAGGCTGTTTCATCTGCAACATCCTCCCCTTTGGGAAGCTGACACCGAACTTCCTCCAAACAGGGCAGAGCTGAACTGGACTGGGGTAAAAAAAAGGCTCTTTTTCAGGCAGCCTTGACCCCCACATGCACTCCCTTTCTTCAGCTGTGATGTTCAACTTTTCAAACCAGAAGCACTCTATATCTTTAATAAGCACCCAAAAGAAAGCATGCTGCACAGGGTGAGGAAACTGGCTGTGGAGAACAGGACTGAGCAGCCAGCACCAGCTGTGAGAGTACAGGGGCCTCACTAACGGCCCTGAAGAGAAAGGAGGTAAACAAAGAACAAGTGTCTCTAGAAAGAGCAAGGATTATGGGAAACATGAGCATGGAGTACAGTCTGGGCAAATCTGGCTTCCTGATCAGCCTGCAGAACTCTGAAGAAGCCAAGCCTAGGGATGCCCTGAGCCTGCGGTACCCCAAAAGAAAGCTATACATAAGAGACCTCAACAAGAGAAACTTATAAAATCTGTGGCAAATAGCCCCGTTTCTGTACTGAACAGGAGTCTAGAGGATGAACAGAGGAAAATATCCAGCCTTAGATTCCGACTCTCACCTTCATCTGAGCTGTGAGAGACGGCCAGGGAGTGAGCAGGGCCTGCCCACTCCCAGCCAAGCCTCCGAGTACTTTATAGGACTCACCTGTCCTTCCTAGTCTCTAACACCTCTGCCTTAACAGAGTCCTCCACAACCCAGGCTGTGAGCACCAAAGAGTAGGACCACAACCTTCATTTTGTGTCCTTCCTGTCTGACCCACTAAGCAGGGAGCAGATGACAGACAGATGCAGGGAAAACAATGTCAACAGGTTTGCCTTTATGTGTTGGATAATTCACCAGAACATTTACCACCCATACCGAAGTGTTCTTGGACTGGGAGAGGTACCCTCTTCAAAGGACGCTCACAAAGAGAGGGAACGTCTGATTTGGCATGCACCTGCTTACGTATTGTTTCTGAGAAGTGCTTTTGTTTTGCCCATGGGGAGCAGAAGAGGTAGCTTTCATGGGCCCTCCTGGTTAGTGGACCCAAACTGGTTACACATGATCTAACTGCTGCAACGTAAGTAATTGGCTTGCAGTCACTACACCCTAGGACACATTGCACCTGTCTGTGGTGGTCCAGGGAAGACAATGGCTCACCAGTAGACGAGAGACAGCAGAGGGCTTTCAGGTCCCGAGAAAGAAGAAAAGGCTATATCCCCACCTCTGAGCCATGGCCACAAGGCCTGCAAGTGCCCCAACAGAAGATAACAGGATTCAAACATAGCTCGAGGCTATGATACTCCAGCCTGCTGGAGGGTACGCAAGCTCTCCCAAGGTCCCCTTTAGCTCTTGAGGACCTGATCTACTCCTTGTCCTGCCTTCCTCCAGCTCCCAGGTGGAGAAAAGACACACTTAAAATCTCTGCTCTCCACACTCTGGACATCCCACTTGCACATGGTGACTTTGTTCCAACAGAAGACACTTAGGCAACTGATCTGTTTGGCAGGGAACAGCTACATCACAACTTCCTGGTGGGGTATACATGACAGGCCTAGCTCCATGCTAGCTGCTGGTGAGAACTGCAGGCAGCCCAACTCCTGTAGATGACCCGCAGGAGGCATATACCTAGCTACACCTGCCAGAGAATTCAGAGGGCCAATGCTCTTTGAAGCCACTAAGACAGAAAGCTTCTGCTCCTTTGACTCAGTGCCAGAAACACTAAACAAACACGCAGATTCCCTCTCTTGCCCCAACCTCTAAAGCTTCTTTGTCTTTGAGGTCATGGAAATCAATGCACCCCAGAACTCCAACGGTGACTAGGGTTCTAAGACGCTACTCAACCACCAAACCAAGGAGCCTAGGCTGTTTAGGGGACTGGTTCCATTCAGCCCACACCTTTCCAATCTTAGTTCCTTACTCCCTTCTCAGGCACACCAAATTCAACCCCAGAAATCAAGCGAGGTCACAAAAAAGGCCTCTAACAGCTCCTGCAGATGCCAGGCCCGTCTGCATCTCTCTGTGTTGTCTAGGCTGAGATGGAGCCACAGTGGGCTCCAGGGGAAATCCCTCAGAAGAACCCCCCTTAAGTGAAACCCAGTCCTGCACCTGCATCAAAGCTGTGCTTCTGCTCCACGCCATGCCAGTACCTCTTACCTGGTGCCCATGGAGTGTGTAGAGCAGCCGGCCCTCCATCACGTCCAGGATCTTGAGGGTTGAGTCACTGGAGGCTGTGATGAGGTAGCTTCCCGAGGGGTGGAAGGAGAGGGCATTCACGGCTGCACTGTGTACTGGAGAAAGAACAGCTATCAGGCACTGGCTGGGAGGTCCCCAGAAAACAGCTGAAGCCTGGGACAGGTGATGAGAGTCAACAGTGCCTCAGCATTGGCCTCAGGGGGCCAGGCTAGGATGGCCATTGTTTACTGAGGTAGGGAACTCCACGTGGATTTCCCAGGAAAATAGCCCAATTTATGGATGGGGACCAAGGGCAGGCAAAGGGAGACAATGAAGAAACAGACAGAACACACAAAAGGATAGATGATCCTCCACCTTTCCTATAACTCAGCAGTGAAATGGAAGAGAACAGGTAATTATAGTGCTAAATCTGCTTTACATTCTGTTACTGCAGGGAAACCCTCGAAATACAATACAATGTGCTATCTACAGGACAGACCTTATGTGGGCACAGCAAGCAGAGGATGCAGAGACTGTCAGGAGCCAGTGGGGCTCAGGCTCCCGTCCTGATTTTCCCAGTAGCCTGCCTTGTGACCCTGAACAATCACCCTGACTGACCTGGCAGTTTCTTCATCTGCACCATGGCACTCTTGAGGCTGCTATGAAAATGCCACCAGTTAATCTCTAACTGAACCCTCAGCCCCCAGTGCCAGCACGGGTATTCCTCTCCTCTGGGCCCTGGGCCCTTCTACCCTACCCATTTAGCAGCTCAATCCCATCATGACTCCTTTCCCCACCACCCCTACCCAAGCCTACCACCTATTCTGGTGTCCCTCATTCTCCAAGAATCAGTCACCCCAACTTCGGTGGCTTGCCATCTGTGAAACCTTTCACCTCTTGTTCCCAATGGGCCTAGAAGTTTCTTGCCCTGTCCCTGATCTTCAAGCTCTCCACTTAAAATCATCTCCCCTGGGAAGCTTTCTGGGAGCCCCCTTTATTTGTTCTTCCAAAACACCACAAGGCTCACACAAGTTTACTCTCTCGTTATGTGCTGCATTCAGATTCACATCTGCTGTCTCCTGACACCACCTTCATCAGACAGAGACTAAGCAGAGGCCTCACTACTGGCTCAGTGTCTGGCACCAAGAGGGACACAGAAAATGGAGAGGAAGCCGCTACTTAGGATGGTTGTTCAGAAAGAAGCCCCTAAGGCTACACAGTCCTTCCCTGAGGCTGAAAGCATGTTGTGTAAGGAGCTCATAGCGATGGACAGAGCCATGTGGTTCCCATGGGGAAGGAGCAACATCATAGCCAACACATGGACCTGCTATTCACTACCACAAATCTGCTGAAGAAACCAGTGGAGCTGAGATAACCACGACCCTGATGGGTTGGCACTGCCACAAATAAAGAGGCAAGTTGAAAAGCCAGGCTCTCACCTGGGCTCCAAGAGGATGCAGGAACCTCTGCAAGGCCCTCAGCAGAGCCCATGAAGATTACAGGAAGCATCTTAGATGCTAACCACACTGGTGTAGTGATGTGTTGGGGAGTGTGGAGACATGTTCCCAAGCACACTTAGGGGAGACAGCCAAGGCTTTATATAACCTGGTATTTATATCTGAACAACACGTTCCACTGACACAAGCCTGGAGAAGATCTGAAGGTTTCTGCAGCCCACTCCTGATGACAGAACAGAGACCCTTCAGCCTGCCCTGGAAGGAAAACCACCCAAGCTCCACCTAAGACAAAGAAGCAGAAGCACAACCAATGGCAGAAAAGTGGGACATGGTGAGGCATGCTCAGGGAGTCCTGAGCTTCCTCTGAACCCCAGTCTGTGTGGACACAACTATGACCTCCCCTCTGGTCAGGCCTACCAGAGAGAGAAAACTGGGCTAAGAAGAAGAGAAACCCCACCCCATTCCAAATGCCAGGGTACACAATATCTACAGTCACTACCCCCCAAAAGGGCTGAGCCTGACATGTCAGGCTCTGGGGGACATCCCAGACTCATCCCTACCCTCACTATTCCCCCTTGCTCTCCTGCCTCGTCTGCTGGCCACAGTCTCCCCCACTTTGCTTCTAGTCAAGCCCGACCTTACGAACTATCCCTGCCCCACAAAGGGGTGAGTCTCCTCTCACAATGCCTTGAGCAGTGACCATCCAAGAACAATCTACTTTTCTTGAAATCCTGCGCAGTGACAGCTATCAGGGACAACAGACTATCACTGAGAGCTGTAAGCTTCTGGCTTTGATCTAGAGAGGGAACTGTAATTCAGTGTCAGAGATGCACAGCAGCAAGCTTCTACAGGCCACCAGGAGCCAATGGGGTCCTACAGTCCCATCCCTAAACACCAGGAAATGGCTTTAGATTGTGGGCAGCAGATAACCTGAAGAGAGACTTATATTTACACAGCCGTTCTGCCTATACTGTTTTGTGTACAGGAAGAAGAATTTGGCAAACCTGGGCCTAATGGGAATACAGAGAGGCCAAGGGGTCCAGAGAATGCCTGCAGGCTGGGTAGGATAAAACTTTCTAAAGTAGACAGTGCCAGGGTTGAGTTCCATTTCCACATCCTTGGAAGTGCTGCTCACTTCCAAGTGTCCAGCATGGCTCCTCATGATGATAACTAGTATTTCCAGTGACTCACTGGTCTCTGGGTTTCTAAGAAACTTTGACTATACCTGCAAGGACACCTCTTTGGAAAGTTCACATAAATGGCCACTTTAGGATGGTAGGAAACAGCGAGGTAGGTTAGTCAGCACTGCTCCTGATCAATACATTCAATCTCAAAACACCAAGTAGGGCCAGAGCAATAATAAGGTGCTTGGAGACCTAGCTCAGCAGTTAAGAATGTACTGCTCTTGTAGAGGAACTGAGTTTGGTTCCCAGCGCCCATATCAGGCAGCTTACAACAACCTGCAACTCCAATTCCAGGGGATCCAACTTCCTATTCTGGCCCCTGCAGGCACCACACACACACACACACACACACACACACACACACACACACACGCTTTTTTAAAATCAATCAATCAATCAAACAAACAAACAAGCAACAAAAGAAAGCAAAAAAGCCTTCACGACCAGATTGAGGGATAAGGCTTGGTGACAGCAAGCTTGACGTCCTAGGTTCACTCCCTAGTACAACTTTAAAAACAAAGAACAAGGGGCAGAAGGGATGGCTCAGCAGTTAAAAGGACTAGCTGCTCTTCTGAAGGACCCTGGTTTGAGTCCTAGCACCCTCATGGCTGCTCACAACAATTTGTAACTCCAGTCCTAGGGGCCCAGGGCTCTGTTCTGGCCTCTTCGGGCAAAACGCATACTTGGCACACAGACATACACATAGGCAAACCACCCATACCATACATATGAAAATAAAGAAAGTTTACACAAACACCTCTTGAGTAGGGTAGGGGTGCAGAGATGTTCTTAGGAATCAGTGACCAGAGAACTCAAGACTAAGAATTTCAACTCAAGCTCCTGGAAATGACAAAGACAAGCCTGCTTAAAGCCATCTAAGAAAACCATCCTTGGCCAGCTGGTGATGCACGCCTTTAAATCCAGCACTCAGGAGGCAGAGGCAGGCAGATCTCTGTAAGTTTGAGGTCAACCTGGTCTACAGAGTCAGTTCTAGGACCACCGAGTCTACACAGAGAAACCCTGTCTTAAAAAACAAACAGAGAGAGAGAGAGAGAGAGAGAGAGAGAGAGAGAGAGAGAAAAGAAACCTCTCTCTCTTAGGAACCCTATGAATAAAACACTAGTGGGAATGATGGGCAGACTCCCAGGTCCTTTCAACTGAAGAGCTAGATTTGCCTTCCAGCTGCGTGACTGTAGGCAAGCTGTACACTCTCTGTGGGTGAAGGGGGAGTGCTCATGTCTTGCTAGTCACCCAGGCCTGTGCCTGGATCATGGACCTGCACATGCCTGTAAACCACAAAGCACATTCTGGGTTCTGGGATGGCGGGGGCTGCTGCTCAGATGTTTGAACAGTCTTAACGTGGGCTCTGAGCATATGGCACTTAACCCACCTCCATGGGAACTGGCACTCCCAGGGCTCCACCAACCCATACTGAATTGGGAAATCAGAACTGCTCCTTGCAGTGATAGGCCAGAGCCAAGAAACTCCTTGCCTGGGAGGACAGTCAGTCAGCCTTAGATAAACGGCGATGGTTATATGCTGTAACTGAAAGCCGAAGTGAGCTTTACTCCAACAACCCAGCCAAGCACAGGAAGCACGGCCATGGGCGGCTGGATGCACATTGCAGGAGCACCAACCACTCTCTCTTACAAGAGCCCATCATCCTCTCAAATGAGAAAGCTACTTAGAAGTGTCTGGCAACCACCCAGCGTCACCGGGGAAGACATTTGGAAATCACTGTCCTTGAAATATCTCAGCTGGCTTTCTTAGGATCTGGAACAGAAGAGAGATCAGAGTTTTGCCACCACAGTGCTAAGAGGCCTTTTTGAGCAATCAGCCTCCACACAGATATATGGGCACACTTAAGATGTGTGAGCCTCCCAAGCACTGTTTTAGACACAGGGCTCTCTGGGAAGGCCCTAGACTTGAGCAGATCTCTCCGGAGCCTGGTGTCAGAAGGTAGAATGAGAGCTGTTTCTCCCGCCCCTACCCAGTTGACCCCCCAAGGCTAAGGGGTGAGTTTGCCTCATGTGAACACCCACCAGGTGCTACAGTCTTCTGTAGGAAGCACAAGAGAAGATGGCTGTGTTTATAGGCTGCACAGAGTCCACAAGGCTCCAACACACACCAGGACAGCTGAGAAATATGCCCCTGCAGCCTTGTTGAGGAGTTCCATCCCAAGAGGCCAGGACAGCAGCAAATGCCCACTGAAAGCTTTCCGGGGAACCTGTGGGTAGCAAGCACTCTAGTCCACTTGGAACCCGGCCTTGATGCTCACCCAGGTCCACACACCTCATAGCTCTGCTAGCACTGAGCTGTCCTTCTGCCCATAAGCAAGCCCACTCCCCCACTTCCTCTGTATTGTTCCACCTCCTGAGAGTTTATTCTCCTTCTGGCTCTGCCTTCCCCCAGCTATGTCATGGTCTGGTTGCTTTGGAGACGTTTTCTCTTCAGTGGTCCTCCAATCATAAGTGGCACTGGCCCTTCTCATGTCCTAGATCCCAGGGCCCAGCTGGCCCCTCCACCACCGCAGCATCAGCTCCTGTCTCTACTCACTGCACATAAGCGGTCTCCTTGGCCTGATCCCTCTGTACTGGGCATGGACATCCATGCACCAGTGGCCAGGGTCTGTCAATCACACCCCCTAGAATCTCACTCTATATTTGTCCTCTCAAATGACCTCATCTATTTGCTCCTTAACTGTCATGCCCCAGAGTTGCCAGTCACTAGTATTTGGAACCTCAGATTTAAAGGTGGCATTCAAGATTCTTCCAATGAGTACATGCTGCAATAACTCATGAACACCAGGTCTAGGCTCCTGATCCATCGGGAGAGTGGGACTCTTCCAGAGACAGCTAGAAATGCTCTCCTCCCAGTGTAGGGAGCTGTGTGGCAGGCACCACACTAAGCATGAACCACAATACCTCTATGTACTCTCATCAGCTTCCCACCTCGTGCCAGAGGTCCTATTATCTATCACCCCCTTCACAGGACATGGCCTGCACCCCTGGTCACTGCATGCCATTGTCATTTTCCTGTCTCACCTCCACCTTCACCTAGGCCTGGCCAGAACAGTAAACAGTGTAGGAAACAGCTCAGGTGGAAGACTGAGCCCACCGCTGCTCTGCTCTAGAAGCCTCTGAAAGAACATCCAGAGCTGATGCCTAGGCGCTCTGAGTAGGAGACCTAGTTCTCGCGGCTAAGGCCTGCCACCTAGTGGTGGCGCAGTGTACTGCATGTCTAGACAGACCACAGGGAGCAGCAGCAGCAGCTGTCACTGCTGCCATGTTGTCACAGCCACTTTTCAATCTTTTTGTTTTGTTTTGTTTTTTCCTGTATAGCAGCCCTGGCTGTCCTGGAACCTGCTTTGTAGACAAACTCAGAGATCCTCCTGCCCCTGCCCCCACAAGTACTGGAATTTAAGGTATGGACCATCACCGCCCAGCACACTTTCCATTTTTAACATAAACTCAAGCCCTGCCTGTCTCACCACCTGCAAGATGAACCCTATCATTGTCCCAGGAGCCCCAAGAGTCAACTGATGCGCCCAGTGTCACACAGCTGGGAATGATGAAGCTCGCTACAGAATCCACACTTTTCCCCTTTCCAGGTCTGCTCACCTCACTGACCCAAGAAAGTGCTTATGGGGATATTGGGTAGAGAGTGCTAAAGACTGAGCTCCAAACCAGTATCAACTCCCCGCTGCTCTGCCATCCAAAGGTGACAATAAGGGGCCAAAGCCCTGGGCCTGGAAGCAGAGCCTGGCCCTCGCTAAGGTCAACCTTCTACATGGTTCATAACTCTAGGCAGACTGGTGGAGGAGAACATGAGGCCAAGGTACCACCAGTGACCTCTATGAGCAGCCCTGTCTCCTTGATCCTGGAAAGTCATCTCTGTCACAGGAAGAAATGAGTAGTGGGGGGCTCTCAAGAAGTACTCTCAGGGACAGTCCTGGACAGAAACCGACTGAAGACTCCTCAGCTGAGTGTGTGTAGCCTCTGCTACCTCATAGCAGGGTACCTCATGATCAACATAAGATAGCTGCTCCACCAACTATTCACCGTGGCTAACCCAACAGCCACAAGATGCCTCCCAACTCAGGGTTGGCCTTGGGCCTGCTCGATCACTGTAGCAATGAATGCCCGCATGGTCTCACCACAGCTCCTTGCGGCCTAGGGTACTGTTTACCACTCACGCTGATAGTGCTGCAGCAGCCGGTGGGTCCGCACATCCCACACCTTCACCGTGTTGTCCATGCCAGCAGCGGCAATGCAGGTACCACTGGGGTGGAAGTCCACATAGGTGACAAAACTGGAAGACAGCGACAGTCACATAGTATAAGAGGTCTTCCTTGGTTAGGATGGACACAGAAGTGTCCTGTCGGCTCCCTCAACCTGGAACATGCTTTTTTACCAGGTGGCAAAGAAAGACCAAGAAGGGGGGCTGGAGAGATTGCTCAGCAGTTAAGAGCACTGGCTGTTCTTCCAGAAAGACCAAGAAGAAGGTGACAACAGTGGCCAGCAGTGGAGTAAAGTAGACTTATCAGGGACCACGCCTGTTGGAACCATTTGGAGTCGTGGTCTCCAGCTGCTCTTCCCTGTTAGTGACCTTTACTTTCCTTCTGATTTGAGTTACTGAAAGCTGTGTCAAAGTTGTTTACCAGCTCTGCTTCCTGAGCACGTGTTGCTTTGAGGATCAGAGGATAAGGTTTTAACCTGTTGGCCCACCTGACTATTGGGTATATAAGCCTCCGTGGTGCTATTCAATAAAGGGCTTCTTACCAGTGACTAGAGGTCCGTATCTCTGTCTGTCTGTCTATCTGTCTGTCTGTCTATCTGTCTGTCTGTCTTTGTGTGTTTCAATCTCCAGCCCCTTGCCCAAAGCTCGCGAACTGTATGGTAGCGCATAGAGCACAGACAGGTGTTGTGCACTGCACATGCCCCTCTCTACCATCCTCCCTCCCTCTATTCCTTCTCTCCTTATGTTTTTGAGACAGCAGCTTGCTATTCACTATGTAGTCCAGATTCACCTTTCCACTCCCCTCCTCAGTACTGAGATTACAAGTGTGTGGAACCATGTCCAGCCCACTGCTGAGCTCTAAGTACAAGTGAAAACAGCAATTTTCAGTCCAAGTCAGCCAAGTTGCTCTGGGGTTCCTTTTGCCAGGGTTGGCTCCAAGACGACAGGTCCTGCCAACTGAGGAACAGGTGGGAAGGTCCAACAGGGCTACAAGGACTACTCATCCATCTATCACTAGAAGACAGGCCAAGAGCCTGCAATGAACGATCCGTGATACTCAGGTACTCCAGAGGGGCCCCTGCCTGTGAGCCTCATCTTAAGGAATAAGGACCAAAGCTGAAGCCCACTTAGACACTTAGAAAATCTAAATCCGGGGCTGGAGAGATGGCTCAGAGGTTAAGAGAACTGACTGCTGTTCCAGAGGTCCTGAGTTCAATTCCCAGCAACCACATGATGACTCACACCCATCTATAGTGAGATCTGGTGCCCAGAATACTATATACATAATAAATATATTTTTTTTAAAAAAAGAAAATCTAAATCCCTGCTCAGATGCAGGTCACTCCTATTCTCCATGTATGATGTGACACAGAACGAAGAGCCATTGACTGCTGCAAGAACTGGAAGCTTTCATTTATAAATCATTACCCTGGGTGACGCTAAGTTTAATATGCAGTTTAGGGAGCTGATTCAATGCTCTGAGAGACACATTAGAATTTTGAGAACTAGAAACTATAGAGGGAAAAAAAGAGGCCAAATTATTGCATGACTTTAGGTGAAGTGTTTCTGCTATCCATGGGGTGGGGACTGGGCTTAACTGTCCACCCACAAAGAAAAAGGTACAAAGCTCATACAAAAAGCAAGCCAGCCAAAGAGCAGTAAGCAGGGCTACCACATGCACAGTCCCAGGCCCCAAAGGCCACTGGGCCTCCTGTCTTGACCTGTGCAGGAGCACCTGCAGACAGAGGATGACCATAGGGACTCACCCGCCATGCTCACAGTATGAGTGGACACACTCCCGGCTGGTCTTGTCCCACAGCTTCACAGTCTTGTCATCACTGGCAGACACGATGAGCCGCCCATCAGGGGAAAACCTAAGTTAAATACAGAATAAGTCACAGGACTAACAGACTCTGACTATCACACCGTGTTCTCTATAGCCACCTCTTCCAGCATGCTGCTACCTGATCCAGGAATTTTTTGGGCATTTTGGGCTTCTTGTGTTACTGTTATTTTGACATAGGGTCTCACTATGTAGCCCTGATTGGCCTGCAACACTCTATATGTAGATCAGGCTGGCCTCAAACTGTGGCGATCCTCCTGCCTCTCCTGAGACTATAGGTGTGCACCACTAGACCCAGCTACCTGAACCAGGAACAACCTAGGGTTACATGTTCTGTTCTAAGACCTTCAGTGATCTTGGGCAAGTGGCTTCCCTCTCTGTGAGATTCATCCTCTCCAGTGCCCGCAGTAATCACGCAGTAGCACTCTGCATAGAATACCGAGAAAGCACATGGCCTGTAGCGATACACAGCTGGTCTAATTTGATGTATGGAGGAGATCAGGAGTCCCACATCAGTACATCAGCAAAACACAATGAGCCAACAAAAACACATGGAGGTCTGGGACCTATTATCAAAGGACTACTGTGGCTATCATACCCCACTTTGCTGACTTGACCCCTGCCCTCCTCCGTTCTTAAGTCCTTGACCATAAAACCTCTCAGAACAGGGCCTTCCCAGAAAAAGAATAGTTCTGTTCTAGGGACTAAGTAACTTCCATGGTATCCACAGAGGAAGATAGCTTAATGGTCCCTAACCTCTGCTTTCATGGTTTCTTCGTGTTCTGGTCACCATAACCCCCTCTTCTGGAGCAGAGCTGTGACATGAGAAAGCTCTGTTGAAAGGAGCTGAAGAAGCCACAGGCAGGCAGATCTGTGTCTGCAATTCTTCAATTCACCTGGCATGTCACGTCACAGCACTGCCTCCCACACCAAAGCCAGAGCCTCAAGATCAAGCCCCATCTAGCAGCTCTGGAGCACAATTAAGCTTTGAGGAAGGAGGCGAACCTGAGTGCCAGAGAAATGTGGGCTCACGCCCCAGCTCCACCACGTACCCACTGCAGGTCCCAGGGCAAGAGACTGTTCTGTTCTGAGCCTGTTTCTTTTTCTGCAAAATGAGAATGATGCTACCCAGCTAGCCGAACTGTCCAAAGGAACAAGGAGCCACTGCACAGTGGTACTGACAGGAGCTTGCTGCTGCTGCTGCTGCTGTCCTGGGAGTACTCAGCACCCCTGACAGAGGGTCATGGCTGACTAATAGGTATCACACATGAGCTCAGTGAAGCTCCTGACAAGTTCAGTGTAGCAACCACAGCTGTTGACACATTACAGATTAGGAAATGAAGGCTCAGGGATACATTAAAGGGAAGCCGTGCAACTTGCCCAAGGTTACAGACTGACATCCAAGGGTTCCTCTCTGACTCCTACCACCCCGATGTCCTCCAGGTTCTCCACTCAGACAATGCTCACTTGGCACAGCGGACCCAGTTGATGTGCTGGCTCAGGGAAAACAGGAATCTCTGGCGATGAGTTGACCACACCTTGACTGTCTTGTCATCAGAGGCTGTCACAAGCGACTGGCCATCACTGCAGAAGTGGACACTCCTCACTGTGGCCGTGTGTGCACGAAACACGGTTGACTCACCTTTGCTATGAGGACAGACACCCAGACTCAGAAGGTTCACAGCAGTGGCATGAGGACCTACAAGCGCACCAGAGTTCTTTCTATCTCTCCAGGCCTCACTGTCCCAGGCCACCCGAAAGGCAAGAACCTCCCCACCAGAAACAAAGTGCTTCTCCCCATCTCTACCCTTACGTGAGTCCTTCCAACTTAGACAGTCCCAGCTGAAGCCCTCTGCTGGCATCTAAGGTCACATGTCCCAGTGACCAGCTCAAAGCCAGGAAAGGACCTAAGGAGGGACAGCTCTTATACCAGGTCCCTCAACGCTGTTAGTCCCTTGAGGTCCATAACTCACACATTGGGTACCCAGATGCGAACAGTCTTGTCTCGGGAGCCTGAGGCAAGTAGGTGTCCCGACGGGGAGAAGTTCACACAAGTCACAGCATCCTTGTGGCCCGTGAAGCGGTAGGCACGTGACTGGGGCTTCATGTGCCAGATCATGAGGCATGAGTCCATGGAGCCGCTGGCTAAGGAGAGTAACAAGATGATTCTCAGATCTCAAGAACCTTGGGCACCCTGCTGGGGATACAGGAGGCCCAGCTCCACCTTCACAAGCATCTCCAACGGGGCAATAAAAAGAATCCCATTGGGATGGAAAGATTGCCAGCTATGGCCTGGCAGTTCTCCATGCAGCAGTGTCCTGCACAGGAACCAGACTGACAGACCACTCACATGCCATTTCTGTACTGCAACCTAGGGTCCTATAAAATTCATCCCTGTGGGGTCTCCCATTGATACTCTGAGAGCACAGGGACCCGTCCTCCCAACGCTCAGGAGCCAGTTAGATACAGAAGGCATTTTACTATTCAAAGGACCAACTTGGGGCTGGAGAGATAGCTCAGTGGTTAACTATGTCCTCTTCTGGGGGCACCAGGCACATGTGTGGAGAACAGACATACATGCAGATAAAATAATCACATAAATAAAATGAGCCAATCTAAAAATAAATTAAAAACAAAACAAAGAACCAAACTTAATAAGAAGCCTAAAGAGGGACAGACAAAAAAAATGGCTTTAGTTCCCTTTGTTTAGAGCAAACCAACAGCTTCTGGCAGGGAAACTCAGCAATAAGATAAAGAGGCAAGCCTAATCCACGGGAAAAGAAACAGTCAGGAAAGCTGTTTAGGAACCCTGGTGTGTACAAGGAAGGGGCAGTGGTATGGAGCTGGGAGATGGGCCTTGTTCAACATCTTTCTCACTATAGGTCTCTGTAACAAGAGTGCCATATTATTGTAGGCAATCAAACTGAAGACTCAGGAAAAGGAGTCAGTTTGGGGTCCAGACCCCAGAGCAGACCCAAGACATAGACAGGATACACAGGGAAAAACCTAGACCCTGTACTCTCAAAGGATGCATGACCAGCATGCACAGAGCCTGCGTGGGTCTGCACCAAGTCCTCTGCATATATACTATATGCTTCCAATTTAATGTCATTATGGGACTCCTGAGTGTGCAAAACAAGTGTGTCTGACTCTTGTGCCTTCTTCTTGGGCTCTTTTCCTTGTTCGCTTGTTTTGTCCAACTCTGATGTGATAGTTTTTGTTTATCTTATTATATCTTATACTTTATTATTATTTCTTAGAAGCCTTTTTTTTTTTCCTTTGGTTTTTCGAGACAAGGTTTCTCTGAAGCTTTGGAGCCTGTCCTTGAACTAGCTCTTGTAGACCAGGCTGGCCTTGTACTCACAGAGATCCGCCTGCCTCTGCCTCCTGAGTGCTGGGATTAAAGGTGTGTGCCATGCCACCACTGCCCGGCAAAGCCTGGTTCTTTTCTAATGAGAGAGAAAGGGAGTGGATCCAGAGGGAAGGGGAGGTGGGGAGGCACTGTGAGGAGTAGACGGAGGGAAACAGCAATTGTATATATTTTGTGAGAAAAAGAATCTTTCCAATAAAAGGAAAAAGATTAAACTAAACAAAGGCTGCATGGCCCTGACAAGGCTCCTAACCTCTCTGGACGTTATACTCTTCTCACGCACAATGGAGCTTATGGAGCCTCGTAAGTCTGGTGATCAGAAAGCTACCCCATAGAAGCAAGACAAGGGGCTAGATGGAACAGCATGTCCTTGCTGGGCTCTGGCGTCCCCACACCAATCCTTCCAAGTTTAGAATCTAGAACCTGAAACAAGAAAGACGCCTTCTCTTACCCAGCTGCTTTGTGTTGAGACTGAAGTCCACACAGGTAACTGCATCTCGGTGGCCCTTAAAGTGCCTCTCCAGTGAGGGATCCTCCTGGGGGAGAGCAGGGTCAAGTGAGTAAAGTCTGAAAGGACTTCTCTGGGACTAAGACTTCCTATAACCAGGAGATGTTAAAAACACTCAAGTGGTTTTTTGTTTTGTTTTTGATTTTCCGAGGCAGGGTTTCTTTGTGTAGCTCTGGCTATCCTGGAACTCACTCCATAAACCAGTTTGGCCTTGAACTCAGAGATATTCACCTGCCTCTACCGCCTGAGTGCTGAGATTAAAGGCGTGCACCACCACTGCCCGGCCCTTCAAGTGTTTTTATATCTTGTATATAAGGAATTCTAAGAAATCCACTAAAAGCTGTTAGAATAAAGGAGTGCAGGACGGAAAGGGACGCAATCTACAAACACACGCCCATCAACAGATGAATCAATAAACCACAACAAATAAACCACATGTGGATCGAGCATGGCGTCACTTATCTTTAATCCCAGCACTCGGGAGGCAGGAGCAGGCAACTCTCTGTGAGTTCTAGGCCAGCCTGGACTACAGAGCGAGTTACAAGACGGCCATGGCTGTATACAAGACTTAGGAGTTATACTCCAACCAGAGTTAAGGTATCTCCTTCCACCTCAAACATCAAAAACTTCAAAAGCCCATTTTAGGAGCTCCAAGGAACCCAGTTTGGGAAAGGTCATTCCTATGGCATAGCAGAGCCACCACTACTCCACGAAGCTGTACCCAAAACAAAGGTAAGGCCCAGTGCCCAGCTCCACCCCCCAAACACCTGCAGGGCCACGCCTTTTAACAGATGGAGTGGTGTTCAGGGGGAGTGCTCTAACAAAGCAGCAAGTGAACACTCGGCCTCCTGTCCTCATCTGAACCTCTTGGAAAAATAAGGGCAAAGCAGTGTCCATCCTAGGCTCAGTGGGCAGAAAGGTCCTGATCAGTGGGACCCCCTTCCCGATGACCTCTTCCCTGAGTCGTTCTTCCTGCACGTGGGTCTCCCCTCCCCTAAAACCAGCGTGTTGTTATGGATGTCAACAGATTATCAGATTGGTAATCAAAAATCTAGGTTCCATTTTTGCCCAAGTCTTCAGGTGCACCGGGGCCATCGGCTACCACCTCGTCAGAGCACCAGGCACTTTGGAAGCAAACTTTTATTTAAAAGGCCAATTTGGAGTCCTTTTTCTGGACTGGGAGAGGGGTCAGGGTCCGGCCTAGGTCATACTGCAGGCCTCCGACACTTCAGGCATTCCAATAGCTTACTGCTTCCGCCTGTTGGAAAGGATGTTGCCTCCAAAGCAGACATCAAGAAGAGGACACGACGACGAGGCTCACACTGGTCCCAGACTACGACAAGGCTCGGGCCTTGCTTGTGTCTTTCTCGCTAAACCGTAAATCCCAGAAGCAGGGGCTTGTTTGTTTGCCAGAGTGATCCAGCATTTGGTCTGGCACTTGGGACGCTGGGTCAATGCCAGACCCACCCCGTAACCTTAGATGGGGAGGCAACCCCAGAACCCCGCGTCACCACCCGCCCCTCTCGTGGCCATTGCTCCAGTCAGCTAGGCGCCCACTCTCCAGAGACTTACCGGGCTGGGAGCGGCCATGGCGGGGCTGGCTAGGTTAGCGGGGTTGGCAGTACCAGAAGCACCTCAAAAGCCCGAGGTAGCTGCGCCGGCAGTTGTGCCTGTTCAGTTTCCGCGCCCCCAATCGCCGCCAATAGCAACGCCGGTGGCGTCGCCGCGTCCCGCCCACCGCAATTAAAGGAGAAGAGTCCTAGGATTTTGACCGCCGACCAGAAGTGGGCCCGCTCCACAGTCGCCACGCTCTCTTCCTCCAGCTCCGCCAGATGAGGTGACCTGCCGAGCAGCCAAAAACCTCAATTCGCCGTCACACCTTCCTTCTGAGAACTTAAAAAATCCTAGCTAAAGGTTTCGGCCCTACGGTTCATCGCCTAGCTCAGGTAACGGAGCGCGCAGCCTTCCGGGAAATGAAGTTCTACATTGCTCTTACCCTACAGTCTTAATAAAAACTACATTTCCCGAGATGCCCCGGGGCGGACAGAGCTTTACCATTAGCAGTGGCGGCCTTAAGAATCCCGGAAAAAGAATACTGGTGGTGGTGTTTGGGGCTGCCTTAAAGCTTCCGCCTTAGGCCTCTCCGGACTTCGGTATGGTTCGTGCCTCCGTATGCTCCTAAGTGTCTATTTAAAAGAGCTGGAGTTACTCAGAATCACAACCATGGAGTAGAGAGACTTGTGTTCAATTCTTAATTCTCCCCTGGTTTTACTGGGTGACCTCAGGAAAAGCGTGTCTACTCTGAGGACAGTCTCCCCGTTTGTCCTAAAAGTGACTGTGATTGCAGCCCGGCCTTCACATATTCTGTCTAAAAGAAATCCATGTATTCCCATCACTGGATACTCTGGGGGAGAATTCGTGCGACGTAATCTTACCCTACCTAAAGAAAAAAAAAAAAGGGTAAACTACGCAATCCTGGGCCTGACCAGCAGAGGCCGTCCTTTCTCACTTTCTGCAGTGAAAGCCGAGAAGGCCCTGAGTGACCTTTTTTCTACTCAGCTTCCTATGGGGATCTTTTCTACGGGCACCTGACCAGAACTGAATGTTTTGTAAGATTCAAGAACCTTCTATCGCCTCTCCTGGGCAGGCCAACTTGTCCGTGCTCCAGCACTGATTAGGATCTGGCAGTGTCCTGAGGTTTCAACCCACATGCCTAGGCTTGAGACTGTGTCCCTAAATCTGCAGGGACAGTAAACTCAGAAACTGGCGTGTGGAATGTATTTGGACTCATTGGTTAAGAGTGTAAACGGCTCTCCCAGGGGACACAAGTTCTATTCCCAGCACCCAACTGCCTGTGACTTCAGTTCCAAGGCAATTCAACACCTCAGGTCTCCTGGGGCACCTGCCTTCACATACATAGACACACACGTACACTTAATTAAAAAGAATAATTTTTTAAAATGTCTTGAGGGATACAAGAAGTGGATATGTATCTGATGCTATTTTTAACTATTTTGGCATAGAGTTGGTTCCTTTACATTAGAAATGTTTAGGCCAATTTAACTTAAGACACTGTGAAATTCCCAAGACAAAAATAGTTGCTCACGTACGCAGAACACTCTGGATTGTTCAGCACTGTTCAGAGGACAATTTCTCAGCCTTCCAATAACGATACTCAGTTTTCTTTTGTCTATAAGTGTCATGAGCATACCATGCCAGAAACATGATGGACACATTTGTATATTTCTACAATTCACAATGTACTGAATAGCAATAAGTTCACAAGCTATACCAGTTTGTCGTTGCTTTGTTTCTGAGACAGGGTCTCTATGTAGTCCTAGCTTTCCTGGAGCCTGATCTGTAGACCAGGCTGACCTCACACTCAGAGGTCTTCCTGCCTCTGTCTCTGACAGCCACAGGTTCTTTTATTTTTACTTTTTAAGATTTGTGTGAGCTGGGTAATGGTGGCACATGCCTTTAATCCCGGCACTCACTCGGGAAGCAGAGACAGGAAGATCTCTGTGAGTTTGAGGCCAGCCTGGTCTACAGAATGAGTTCCAGGACAGTCACTAGAGCTACACAGAAAGACCCTGTCTCCAAAAACAAAATACAAACAAACAAACAAACAAAGATATATGTATATGAATGCTTTGCCTACATATATGTATATACACCACACATATGACTGATGTCTTCAGAGTCCAGAAGACATCAGATCCCCTGGAACTGGAGTTACACACAGTTGTGAGCTGCCATCTGAGTACTGGGAACTGAACCAGGGTCCTCTGCAAGAGCAGCCAGTGTTCTTGACTGCTCTTCCCAGCCCCCAACCACAAGTTCTTTTATTCTAATCTTTTTCTTTTTTCTTGATTTCTTTTCATTGAGAATGTTGTGGGGTTGCCACCAAGAGAGGACTGCTCGGGCATGGCTTTAAGCCAATAGAAAGTCTTTATTAGCCAGCTGGCAACTACACTGGGTGTTTGGGATCCCAGTGTAGCACCAAGTCTTTCTCAGGGTGGCTTTTCAGCACAAAAACCATGTCCTGGGTTGACATACTTCAGTTAACAAGAACAGTTAGCCAGAAGAGGAACTGCAGAAGCCCAAAAGCAAGGTTAGTTCATTTAGAAACTTCTCCAGAACTTTGATGGATTAGACTTTCATTTTAATTTTGGCAGGTGGTGCTGTCTGTTACTGAATTTTATGGCCTGGATGACAATACTTCTATCATGAAGTCAGTTGTGCTAAGGTCTGGGAGCCTACTAAGTTCTTGGGTCCTGTTACAAGAAGGGTCTCATGTAGCCCAGGCTAGCTAGCCCCTAGATCACTATATAGCTGAAGACAACTTTGAACTTCAGATGATCCTGCTTCCATTCTGGGAATACAGGCTTGTACTATCAGGTTAGGTTTATACAATGGTAGGGATTGAACCCAGACATTCATGCATGCTAGGCAAGCAGTGACTCAGCTGAGCCCCATGATCCCAATCCTAATTACTAATATTACTCCCATATCTCTTCCCTTACATAATAAATATAAATATGGGTGTTGATGTGTATATACATAAATATGGGCACACACAATGCATTATGTAGGTTACAAAATGACTACAAAAGAATTTAAGGGGCTACCGGAGTTCAAAGAAGACTTGCTGGAAGGAGAGTTGATACCGATGCAGGGAGTTACCGTACATCGTTATATGTGCTATTAGTGGGCACGGTTGGAGAGCTGCTAGAGGTTCTTAGAGCCCGGCTGCAGGGCCAAGCTGCAGAGAGAAGCATCCTAGATATGGAAGGACAAGCGGAGGCATCGCCGTTTGAATGGGCCAGGTTAATGAGAGGGATTTTGATGAGCTAAAGCCTCGAGGGCAGTGGAGTCTCTGCTGGCTCCTTTACACGTGCTCGGTGATTGGATGGCTGGTCACGGAAAGATCGGTGCAGTTGTCACCATTGGAGTGTTAGATCTTCTTTTTCTGGAACCCGGGTCAGGGTGCTGCACCCTTCATTGATCTCGTCTGTTTGGGAAGTTCTCAAGGAGCTGGGCATGGTGGTACACGCTCTCAGTGTCCGCACTTTGGAGGCAGAGGCAGGAGGATCTCTGTGAATTTGAGACCAGCTATTTCCAGAACAGCCAAGGTTTCACAGTGAGACCCTGTCTCAAAGCAACAACAATAACCAAGTTCTAAACCTAGTGTTTTTGTTTGTTTGTTTCTTTCTTTTTTTGGGGGGGGGGTGGTTGGTTTTGGTTTTGGGTTTTGTTTTGATTTTTCAAGAAAGGATTTTTCTGTGTAGCTTTGGAGTCTTATACTGGAACTCGTTCTGTAGACCAGGCTGGCCTCGAACTCACAGAGATCCGCCTGCCTCTGCCTCCTGAGTGCTGGGATTAAAGGTGTGTGTCGCCACCACCCAGCTCTGGATGGTTGTAAACTCACATGTGCCTATGTGTTCCCACTCTACTTTGGCAAGGTGGTAACTTTTTACTTGCATGAATAAGATGTTCATCGGTCTATGTATCATGGTTGATACCTAGACAGGTAGTGATAGCCTACATGCACAAGGAAATTTAGAGTCATTCTGCCTCTGTGTTTGCATTCATAGCAAAGCCAACTGCTGCTGTATAACATCGAGTTACTTAGGGCAGGGCCCAGCTGGAAAGCCACTGCTTCTACAATGACACAGCCTGATCTCCATAGCCAGCTAAATATTCAAGGCACATGTTGGGAAGTGAGAGGGTAGGATGGAGTGGTGCAGAAAAGTTTGTCTACTAAATTTAAGATTTTTCTTGTTGGGCAGTAGCAGGTTTGTCTGTTTAACCTGTTAAACATCCTTAGTTTAGGAATCTTCAGTTCAAAAGACTGGGTTTAAGCAGGCCCAGTGCCTCAGCCTTGTAATCATAGTTACTGGAGAAGCTGAGATGGGGTGATTATGGGTTCTTAACCTGCCTGGGCCACAGGATGAATGTGAGATCAGCCTGGGAAATTCAATAAGACCCTGTCTCAAAATAAAAAGTGAAAAGGGTAGGTAAGTAACCCTTTGTCTATCTCCTGTAAGTAACTCATTGGTTCACCCCCTCTATTGGCCTCCATTTTCATACACAGACACATACACACTAACTAACTAATTAGCTAACTAACTAACTATATAGTCATATAGTTATAGGAAAGGGCCAATGAGTTGGCTGAGCAGGGAAAAGTGCATGCTTCCAAGCAAGCCCAGTGACTTGAGTTCAATCCCTAGAAGGTGTGGTAGGAATGTCACAGAAAAACACTAAGGGAACCAGGAATGTTAAACACACAGGCTTGATTCTTCAAAGGAAGGGATCCATAGCCTGGAAGTGAGCATGGTTAATAGCCTAGTAACCTTTTTTTAAATGTGTGTGGCAAGACCATATGGGATCTTCCCCCACACCCTTATTGTGAGCTTGTCAATTTATAGAACCCATCTTTATGGAAGGTTACAAATGGAAGTTTCTGTCCCACCCAGTCCCGCAGCTGTCAGTTCCAAAGAAACACACAGAGGTTTATATTAATTATAAACTGGTTGGCCTGTTATCTCTGGCTTATGATTAACTAGCTCTTACAACTTAAATTAGCCCATAATTCTTGTCTATGTTTAGCCACGTATCTTGGTACTTTTTATCAGTGTAACATTTTCATCTTGCTTCCTCTGTATCTGGGTGGCAACTGTGTCTGGCCTTTCCTCTTCCCAGAATTCTCTTAGTCTGGTTGCTCCACCTATACTTCCTGCCTGCCTACTGGCCAATCAGCATTTTATTAAGCTAATACACGTTTCAAATCTTTACAGTGTACAGGAGCATTATCCCACAGCAGAAGGTGTCACAGGTACTTTACAAAGAGTTTTGCTGTGAGCCTGTCTTCAGCTTTATTGTGCATTTGAGATGGAATTCTGTTGACAGAGGTTTTTGTCCAACTGGATCCCACAGTCATTAAGTCTCAAGGAAACACAGAGTTCTGTAGAGAGCCGCGTGATGCCATGCCTTACAGG